CCCTCTCCACAGAGCTGCTCTCCAGCAGGTCCGCCCCAAGCCTGTACTGGTGCCTGGGGTTGTTCCTCCCCAGGTGCAGGACCCTGCATTTGCCTTTGTTGAACCTCATCAGGTTCCTTTTACCTGCTGTCCTGCCAGGTAAAAGAGAAGTTTCACATTAAATGAGAACGAACTGCTGCTGCTGCTGCAGCTGCCTCTGAAGGCAAGCAGAAATCACACAGCAACGATCTCAGCCGTCGCGCCTCGGGCAGTGGAAGGGAGCTCATTACGGAAAAAATGCGAGATGACACCTTGCACTTCTCATCCGACTAATTTCAGTGTTATAGGATCTCTGTTTTCCAATTATATCAAGGCGGTGCCACATCAGAATGAATTTCAGCCCACGTCCTCACAGCGGCCATGGTGCAAACTCTTCGGGACTCCCTAGGATGCCAGGATTGCCCAGAATGCGTAAAGAACACTATTTACTTGCTCAAGGAGCGCAGCTCATTTCAGACACCTCCCGGTAACTACAAGCAGAGTGTAAGACAGAACAGTAAACTCCCTTTTCACATATTTAACCTAACATAATCATATTGATGAACAATTGAACCAGGAGGCATTTCCCCCGCCCTCAACTCATCAGTATTTAAAGCAGAATACGTAATAAAGCTCACACCATGAACCATCGCCTACAGTTATTCCCAATCTTCACAGAAGTCATTACAGTACACTAATCCTTACAGAAGCTTCTTTACACAGACATTTCTATACCAAATGCTTCTGGGCTACTTACATTATACCATATGCTTCCAGTCCCTGTTACTTGCATCACCGACCCTTTCAAGTTAGAATTTTAATAGTTTAAGCAAATTTCCATCATTAGTATTTCCTTTTTTAATCCCCCACAGAAGTTTCCACTCCAGTTTCAGAAACATCTAAGTTTTCTCCAGTACACAGTTGCTCTTGAGAGAGACGGGGAGCGGGGGACAACAGCAAGCATGCTTAGAAATTTAAGTCACACACATGCTTGAATTATTATGTAGATCATGCAATTAAGATGAAAAGTATGAATAAGCTAATCAACAACCACCACACTGTGGGTGTGCTATGCACTGTGGGGTTTTTTTTCTTAATATCCCCAAACTTGATATTGATTTAAAAGTCAAGTTTAATTAAAAACATCGTTATACTTTCTGTGAAGTTGGCACAGAACAACAAAAAGGCTGTACAACACATATGCTACAAAGTATATATTACAGTTAGAAGCACTATGCCTTGGAGAAAATAGGTAATTGCCAAGGACCAAGCTGGCAAAGCTTACAGTTAAGAAGAAAAAGATTCAAGGAATAAAATGTCTGGCAAATCAGAAACCTATGCATCTTGCCTCCCGCTCCTCACCCATGCTCTTTCTCCATCACTCCCCGCTTCATTTGCGCTTGTCTAAGCGGAGCAGCTTTCGGGCAGTAGCTGTCACTCTTGCTTGGAAACTCCCACGCAACCTTGGAAGTAACACAAGACTGCTCAGAGCCTGGGGAACCTGCAAGCTTTGGCTCCGCACACCTAGGCATAAATCTTGTAGGTGTCAGTATCCTACAAAAACTGGCCCTGTGTTAGCAGGCAGCAATCCACGATACTGAATTGACCGACAGGTAGTGTAATCCAGGAGAAAAATAACTTTCTGAGAACGGGAAGACGCCTACACAGCCTTAGTAACTAATAGTTTTGACCTTTTCTATTTGAATTGTCACAGCCATCTCTGTTTCTATTGCATTTGGAAGACCACCCAGTTTTAATTCCTTATTTATAGTCATTTAAAGGAAAAAAAAAAAAGTCTTTGCAGCCTGGGGAATAGCATGTTCAATAGAAGCCATAAAGAAACAGGAGGGATGGATTAAAAATACGTATGCTTTACAAAAATAATGGATCCTCTTTGCTCCCAAACATACAATGCACATATTTAACAATGGTGATGCCTGTGAAACAACTCCATATACAACACAGGAGGTGTCAGTGTGCCCTTGGGCTAGTAAGGTGTCATCTTACAGCTTCTGTGCAAGAAATAAAAAAAAAAAGGGAGGCAAATCTGGAAGGAGACAAAAGGGAATTACAGCACATAGACCGTAGCAAGATTTTATTTAAAGTTTAAACCAGCATGCAAGGGAGAGACAAAAAACCACTAACATCTGCCACTCTGCTCAAGGCTTTATCAGTTCTCCCGGATCTTCACCTGTTCATGTTAGTCTGGTGGCTTTCCAAGCAGAAAGTGTCATGTCATGTTGTCAAACAACGTTATGTCGATGCTATGCATAGGTACCCTTTCAGAAAAGCCACACAGTCAAAGGGACTTGGAAAAGCAGCAGCAAAAGGCTAACCCTGCTCACTTCCAAAACATGCAAATCAGCTATGTGGACAGGGTAATCACCCAAAAGTCTAATTAATTCCTCCTTGCCTATACCCATACTTATCTTATTGCCTTCCACCTGCATTGCAAGCTTCTGTTTCAGCTTTGTACAAGGCCAAGCAGGACACTGGCTTTCTCAAAAAAAAAAATACTGGGGTGCATGACCCAAGAGAAGTGGGACAAACATCTCCCAAAGTGAATGTCTCATTAAATATTGCTATTGTTGCACCAGAAATGAATTCTCCATTATGCAGAAGTAAATTCTCTGCTACACATGTGATACAATTCTGCATTTGTCTGGAAAGTTTAAGAGCGTACCACACCTCAGTTCAAAGCATACTTTTCCTCCTAACGCTTTTTACACAAAAACAGGCCCTATTCATGTGAAACAATTTGCTTTACAGGAATAGACCTCTAGGCTATCTAATGTCACATTTTATATCTGAAAACTAGATGACAAAACCTTGCAACATGCAGAAGTAATTCACTGCCAGAAGAACATTCTTTTAACCTCCAGTGTTTTTCCTTCTTTCAGTGTTTGGACCACAGGAAAGTTAGCTATACATGTCCTAAGCATTTTCTAGTTCCTCCTTGAACAATGACAAATTCTCACCCAATTAGGTCCATACAACTGCACTTCCAAAAAATATAGCTTTGAGTATTTTTATTTTTTTTTAATCTGTCATAAACAATAAAAGGCATGCTTGCACACTTGACTTCTCAGTTGTTATTGATACTTCATTATATTCTTGATTCTTAAAATTCTCCTGCTCTCTTCGACTTCACCCATGGCTATAATCAGGATAGTTATCTATTGGTCCGTTCCTCAATTTGTAGGACCAATACTTTTCTCCAAATAAGAATAAAATACTGATTTACATAATAGCAGCTACACACTTTCAGCTTGTTCACACCTTCGTTCTTTTGGATTTCATATTTTTGGGCTCCCTTCACACATGAATAGGTGGTGGCCTAATTGTGGCAGCAAAAGGGAGCACTACAGAGTCTAAACAGCCACAAGAAAAGCACAGCATCCTACTCTGGCAACTGCATTTAAATACAAACAAAAACTACCGTCCTGCAGTTCACTTGGGAAGACATGAGTGTCAGATCAGAAAGTCCTGTTGCAGTAACTGCAGCCCGACAGCGACTTAAAAAAAATAAAAAGTATCTCAGCTGTCACTGGTCTATCCAATTTCAAGCTGAACTTGAAATTCTAATATAATTAGAATTCTAATTCTAATTATGCCTAATATAAGGATTATCTGACTGAGATCTGTTCTCGTATACAGACACACCACACATACTGGTTTTAATGTTGCGAATCAGCTATACAGCTGTTAAAGACAACTGTAAAGGTGCTATAGACAAATTTGCTTCTGCTCTTGGAACTTCAAGAACTGATCTGATGATAGGTCAGGAAGAATGGCATCCTGCTTAGCCCAACAGCTGCTCTGAGAGCCAAGCCTGACAAGGAGGACGATGCAGTCAATGATTCATTTCAGTGTCAGGATATAAAACTAAACATACAGGTAAGAAACAATTCTTCTGTAAGCGAGCTTTTTTGTCTGCTGCAATGCCAAATGAACCTTGCAAGGATCCTCCACACGGTATCAAGGGGAGGATACAGGGAAGGAGGTAACCCGCTCTTTCTTCCCTTTCTAACATAGCAGAAACGAAAGGAGAGTTCCCTTTCCTAACGCCTCCCCAGAAGAGGATGGGACTCAAATCCAATCGATTTTGCTCCTAGATTAAGGACACAGTACGAGTTACAATAGTTCCAGATACGCAGTTTAGCCCACGGTCTTAGGAAACCCATCCTCCAGATGAGGACAACCAGAATGCATCATGCTCCAGATTCTAACATCTTCTCCAGGCACCTATGGTGTTTAATATTTTAGACAGAGCAAGATTGTCTGCTCTGCACAGATGGTTCTTACCTCCAAGAGTGTATCACAGTCCTTTGACTATATTAATTTACAGCGTGTTTATCTGGCCATATGGCTCAGCTACTTTTTCTGTATAGCTCAAAGTCAAGAAAAGTGACACATACCTTGTGAACACTGGTCCAAGAACTTGGGAAAAAGAAGCCTAAAAAAGGCAGAAGTTTGTACATCAAGAAGGGGTATTATTAATTAAGGCATTTACATTCATTTGCATACTGACAGCTATAGTCTCACTATCCAACCCATTTTCCTGTTTCCGCTCCTCAAACCACATAATTGGAGTATCCCCATAGGTTATGTCTTTCATGAATTCTTCCCCCAAAATTTCTTTTGTAGATGCTTTTAGTTCTTTAATGGATGTAAGAGCCAATTCCCACCATGCAATCTACTCTGTATTGTAGGAAATCAGAAAGCCTTCAGTATTACTTTAATCTCTATTTAAACAATTGGAATTTTAAGCTTACCCTAAAGAATTGTGCCTTCCAAACACAGTGGGAACTCCTCATGGAAAGATTGTATGTACATAATGCTTTCTATACATATCGCACCAATTTCTGGTATTGTGTCAGACAAGCGACAATTATTTTTGAGCTTTATCACACACACAAAAGCTCCAGAGACAGTACTTTATCTCTTCTCCTTCAACTACCTCTTCCCTGCCCTGGCTTGCTATTCAACACGGGGAAGAGCTTCATCATAGCTTCAGGGGGAAAATATTTTCAGCCGGGCTTGTTGTGACAGGGCAAGGAGTAGAGCAACAGCTTTAAACTAATGGAGAGTAGATTTAGACTGGATATAAGGAAGAAATTTTTTACCATAATGGTGGTGAAACCCTGGCACAGGTTGCCCAGACAATTAGTGGAGGCCCCATCCCTGGAGACATTCCAGGCCAGGTTGGACGGCGCTCTGAGCAACTTGGTCTGGTTGAAGATGTCCCTGCTCACTGCAGGGGGGTTGGGCTAGATGACCTCCAAAGGTCCTTTCCAACCCAAAGCTATCTGTGATTCTATTTCACGATTCTATGAAAGAGCTAGGTCTCTGCAGTACTGAACTTTCTGAGACTAGAAATAGTTTTGATTTTCTTGACTGCAAAAGTTTCAAGTCAGACATTAAAATCACTCTTCCCCATTCTCACAGTGAAATCGCCAAAGCTTCCCTACTGAAAGATTTGTCATCGGCAGTACGTGGCTACTTGGTAAGTGCTTATCAGAAGAAACTTCAAAGCGAGACACAAATAGTCTACAGCACAGGCAAAGCCTCTTCCTTCAATTGCTACTGCACTTCAGGAGACTAACAATGTTGGTCAAAGGATTGCAGGCTACTGCTGCTATAAATACTACTCAGTGCTATGACCAGTAACACGTTCGTAAGTTTAAAAAAAGCCTAGAAATAGGACTTGCCTTTCCTATAATTATGGAAAGAACAAGTTGAAACAGCACTCCAGTATCAATTCAATAATATTTTATATAATTCCTATTATTTACTTACAATCTCTGTCACGGAGACAAAGAGCAGCAGTAAGGTAACATCTACTTATTGACTAGTGCAAAGCACAAGAAGTGTATTGTTTAGTGTTTTAAAAACAGCTAGGAAGTTTAACGCATGCACTTCTACAAAACGACTGGGCAGTTCACCTCTAAGATGTGATGCACAAAGGTTTACTACAAATAGCAGCAATGTTAAGAACTCTGAAAATTGTAACTGCTTTAACTCCTATCAAATCAGCTGCAAGGCATAACTGCAAAATTTAAGTATCATAATTTTACAGATAGGTCTATGAAATTAGTTCCATGTTTGGTAAGTGTGGAGCACATACACATATACTATGAGACAGCAACCATACCACACTATTTTAAAATGTCAGCAACTTGGCTTTGCTACAGTTTCCTCCCCACCCTGCCCCTGCAGTAACCCAGGATATCAGATCTTAATACTTGCAATGCTTTTGCTTCCGTGCTTTGTCACTCTCTTCCACTAAATCTGGGACTGCTTCCCATAAGGCCCGTATTTTAAATCTGTAAATCTTCATTTAATATCCAAAAGTAGCGACACAATCAATAACCCAAACTGAGATGCACGTTTCAGGTTTTAGTCATACTTACAAAAAGATCCCAAGAAAAAGAATGATTCAAAAAGCACATGAGATAACAGCAGACTGTCCAGATTTTACAAAGTCTTTAGCCGAGTACACTTATTTAAGCAGTATGCTAAGGACAATCTTTGTTTATTCCTCCACAAGCTAAACTTTTATTATTATTATATATAATTATATACCTAGTAGAAACTAATTGTCATCCTTATAAACCAAACAGCTCTTCAAAGCTCATCCAAGATGGATCACCTAGCAGTTTTATGAGATCTAAGACAGTTCAATGGCATTTAACAATCATATATCTCTAATTTTTATAAAAGTGATCTCATAAACTTACATATCCATTTTCAAACTAGAAAAAAATATTTTAAAGCATACCTGTGTTCCATGTAGCAACTCAGCGGCTCTACACAAGTATTAACTGCTCCAATGATGAAAGACGACTTCACATCTGGGTCAGGATGAGTCTGCAGAGCCTGCACAACATCAATAACATCCGTGTATCTGTAAGAAAACAAAAGGAAATATGGCTTCAGAGAAACAGAATGACACATTCTAGCAAGAAATCAATTGCTTGCAAGAAGGATAGATTTCTAAAAAAGCCTACCAAAATAGTTCTATAGCCATTTAAAACTTGGCAAATCCAGACAAATCAAGCTGACTGCAAGCAACGTTAGAAATAAATTACTGACAACTACAGAGAAAAGCAGTACAAACTTTGTGATAAACAACTGGAAAGTCCGGCTTTCAGGAAGCACAAAATGCATAATCTAATAACACAAGCATGTTCTGCCTACTGCCAAGCATATTAAGCACTAAGTATGATACAAGTAAAAATAAAAAAACAGCATCCCAATTTAAGCGTGCTTCTATAATGTAATGCATCCATTTTTTTCATCAGTACTCCAGCCACTGCTGTATTCTTTCTGACGATAGCAAAGTCCAGGTGAACCCGAGTTTTTATTCCAGGTGTTTATTTCTCAGCCAGTTACAATCTTCTGTCAAAACTGTACTGTCAGTTACCAAGTTAACGGATTACTTAGGGAACTCCAGCTACTGCTAAGTTGTCTATACCAACACTTCACTACCCAGAAAGAACAGAAAACCTGTAATTAGCCACGCCCGAAGACAGTGCCACTACCAGAATGTCAGTCACTTTGTACTTCACTGGACTTTATACAACTCCTACTAACTGTAAGAAAAAAAAATCTCACCCTAACATGGAAAAAGTTATGTTTTTAGCACTATCAGAATGGACGATAGTGAAGGAAATCCTAAGCTCCGTACGTGTGCCCTTAGTGAAAAAGATGAACACTTGGTAGCATGGGAACCAAAACCATTCCCCAGATTAGGTCAATACTTCCCTCAAGCTAGTTTAGGTTACCTGCTAACGACTCCGGAACAGAGTGGGCAAGCTTACTGTAGATGACACCAGTTCAAGTGTTACACCCGAGATGGAAATGTCACCCAAAGATGGCTCAGAGTCTTCACCTTCATACACAAAAACCCTGGCATCTACCCGAACCACGTTAGTCAGTCTTAGGTCAGTTATCTCCCGCTGTATTCAGTGAACAGTGTACTTCTGACAGCCTGCTTTCTGCTACGAGGTTAAGAGGTCATAATCTTTACTGAGTCCTTCATTCTGAAGTACAGACACAAAACCTATCCTACATGAAGTGTCGTGCAAAAATTGCACAAACATCTATCTGGATAAAAACTTGCATGCAATACTGCTGCTCTTCCTTCATATCTTTTATCAACTGTAACTTCGAAGGTTTGTGTCACATTTTTATAGCTAATACTGCCAAAGAATCAAAGCAAGGACTACCAGAAATGCAAAGACTAAGCAAGCATCTACGCACACAAAGGTGCTAAATACTTGGAAAAAAACAAAGATTGAATCTCATGCTTACCGTAGCACATTCATTCTCTGCTTAAAAAATTCAGTAAGAGTTACAGTAGCTTAGGCTTTTAAGTTTCTGCCTTGAGGAAAAAATATTCCAAACTGAATGGACCACTTATTTCTGGAAACTATGCATTTATTTATTAAAGATTCTCCAGCACTCACTGCTCTTTCAGAAGTTTAAGGTACTGTAAAGCACTTGAGAGATATAATTATAGTCTTTATGTCACACCATATCACACTTCCTAAAATTAATTTCTATTCTGAAGCAACTCAAATTAAAAATTTACCAAAACACGCTTCGTCACCTAATGCCTTGAAGACAACAGATCTTCCTCTGTAAGAAACAGGGATGCGCTCCACCCCCATTTTTCATCAAAATAATTTCAACTTTTTAGCAAACCTCCCAAGAAAATTATACATGGAACGGTAGGGTGAGAACTCAGCTAACAATACTTCTCTGCATTCAGTAAAAAGTTGTGCAAGCATTCCATGTTTTTTGGTTTTGTTATCAGCAAAATACAGGTCTGCTGGGAAAAAGTTGCAATAATTCATTTGTGTACTAACAGGAACTACAACACACAACACTCCCTCTAAATATTAAGATAATGCTGTAGCAAATAATATTCAGTAATATTCACCTGCAGCTCTGGAGTGCAACTTGCAACACAATCTCAAGCTGCCTCTTCTCTATTGCCCCCACCTAGATCTATGGCTTTAAAGGCAGAAAACCAGCACTCCTACTTTACCATTGGAAATGTAAGTCTGAAGGAGGTATGAGAATATGTGCGTGAAGAAGTCTCACCAGCCTTTGAAGGACAAAATACTTCTTTATCTAGGACCTCCAAGGGGGAAAAAATAACCCCAACAAACCAATCCCAAACCCCAAACCACCCAGTTGCACCAATAAACAAAGTACCATTTAACAACAGTCTAAGACACAGCTGAAAAGGGCAGGAAAACTTCTGAGACGCCAAAAATCACAGCCGATCTCCTAAATAGGGAAGATGAATCAAACGCAGTCTGTCCTTCCTTTTGATTGAAGGAAGACTTTGGACACCATTTTTTCAATGGAATAACAAGCAATAAAATTAACAGGTCGCAGAAAAGCCGAGTTTAGTCCACAGGTAAAATAGAATTCACAGAGCACCACGCTACAGCACAGAAATTTGACTGCTTCAGAGTGATGGGAAAGTTTAAAAATGTCTTAGAAATAGGGAGCAGAAAATGCAAGGACCTGCACGTGGGTCGGGGCACTCCCAAACACAAGTACAGGCTGGATGGAGAGTGGCTTGAGAGCAGCCCTGAGGAGAAGGACTTGGGGGTACTGGTGGACGAGAAGCTCAACACGAGCCAGCAATGTGTGCTTACAGCCCAGAAAGCCAACCGTATCCTGGGCTGCATCAAGAGAAGCATGGCCAGCAGGTCGAGGGAGGTG